AAAAGATATATTTGTAAAAAATGTACTATAAGCTGGCCATCAAAAAAGTCTTTAGCCTATCATCAAAAGCACTGTTCTGGTTTAGGAGAAGCAACTCAAGAAGTCAAATTACCTATCAAGGATGTCAATGACCTTGAGAAGCTTAAGAACTATAGTCGAATGATCAATGCTCTATGTGTTATTATAGCTGACTTTGAGGCTGATAATAAGAAATGCGATGAGAAATATGGAGGGCAAATGTGAAAGCTTGCTGAACAAAAGGCCAATAGCTTTTGCTACTTGGTTTACTGGATCGATACTGAAAAGGTATGGGGCCCATTTCTATATAGAGGAGAAAATGCTATTCAGGAATTTGTTAAAAGAATTGATAAGGAATTAGTTCAAATTAATAGGGTCTTAGCTATAAAGCATGACCGAATTAAGACTGAAGAAGACAAGAAAAAATTTACTAAAACAAATACCTGCTGGATATGTAAAGATAAATTCAATAGAGATAATAAAGATAAGGTTTGGGACTATTGTCATATAACAGATAAGTTTCGAGGACCTGCTCACAATGCTTGCAATCTCAAACTTCAGATTGAATCATGGAAAACTCCTATCTCAGTTGTCTTTCATAATTTTCAGGGCTATGACTCTCATTTAGTCTGTAAATCTGTTGGGAAATCTGTTAATGCTTATCAGATAAAAGTTATAGCTGAAACATTTGAGCATTATAAATCTATGAAGGTAGGTCAACATAAATATATAAATAACATGCAATTCATGAATAATAGCTTGGCAAATCTTATGAAAAATTTGGGTTCCAATCACTCTATTACAAGCCAGCACTTTAAAGACTATTCTTCAGATCAAATTTCATTAGCAAGTTGTAAAGGAGTTTATTCTTATGATTATATAGATTCTCAAGAAAGATTTAAGAAAACAGAGCTTCCTCCTATCCATGAGTTTTATAGTATTCTTAAAGGCAAGATTTCACAAGATGACTATTATCATGCCCAAAAAGTATGGAAAACTTTTGGTTGTAAGACTCTAGAAAAATATCATAATCTCTATCTTAAGATTGATGTACTTAGTCTTGCAGATATTTGGACCCAATTCCAAATGACATGTATGCAGTATTATGAGCTTGATCCTAGTCATTATGTTTCAGCACCTGCATTAGCTTGGAATGCTATGCTTAAGATGACAGGTGTTAAAATAGAGCTCTTTACAGATATGTCTATGTATGATTTTATAGAAGATGCTAAGCATGGAGGTATAGCTATAGCCTGTAAGCGCTATTTCAAAGCCAATAATCCAAAAATAGACAAGAAATTTGATCCATCTAAACCCACAACATAGATTTTATATATCAATGCAAATAATCTTTACGGCTGGGCTATGAGTCAGTATTTGCCTATTGGAAATTATAAATGGGAGGTAAGTCGTAAATATCTTGAGGATAATCCAAATGAGCAAAAGAAATATCTTAAAAAGATTCTTAATACTAAAGCAGATGCTAAAAAAGGATATTTTCTAAAGATTAATACACATTTTCCTCTAAAAACTCATAACTATTTAAGTGATTTACCCCCAGCTGTAGAGAATATAGCTGTAAGTAAAGATATGTTGTATTCTTATACTACAGAGCTTGTAGATAACTTAGATAGTAAATGTTTCTCAGCTACAGAAAAATTAGTACCTCATCTTGGTCCATGAAAAGAATATGTTATTCATTACTTAGAGCTTTAATACTATGTAAAATTAGGTATGATAGTAGATAAGATAATAGAAATCTTATCTTTTGATCAAACTAACTGGCTCGCATCCTATATAGCTTTTAATACAAAAAAGCGACAAGGTCTAAGAATGCTTTTGAAAAAGATTTCTTTAAGCTCATGAATAACTCAGTATATGGCAAAACTATGGAAAATGTTCGCAAATACTAAGATGTCAAGCTCATAGCTATGAATAATGAGCAAGATGAAAAGAAATTTATTAATCAGATCCGTAAACCCTCTTTTAAATATGCTAGACAGCTTGGAAATACACTTGTTGGGGGTACATATAGAAAAGCTAGTGTAACTCTTAACAAGCCTATTATTGTCAGAGCATCAGTTCTTGGCCTTAGCAAACTTTTAATGTATCACTTCTGGTATGGGTATGTAAAAGAAAGATATGGTGATAATGCCCAGCTTGGATATAAGGATACAGACTTATATTTATTTCAAGCTAAGACTGAGGATATCTATAAAGACATGGCAGAGTGACCTGATCTTTTTGATCTTAATGATTCTAAGACTATTAAGCTTTTTAAAGATGAGACTCCAGACAATGTGATTACAGAATCTTATCATATCTGGACTAAATCATATCACTATGTCTTAGCAGATAAGTCTACAAAGTCTAAGCATAAGGGGGTTAGTAAAAAAGACATAAATGAAATGGCTACAAATTTATACATATCAGCTTTAGAAGGGTCCTTGCTAGATGATCCAATAGATAGATTATTATTATCAGAGCAAAAAGCTATGCGAACTGAGACAGATCCTATGACTCTAGTATATCGAGACTGTCTTTTTGGTAATGAAGTATTTCATGCTAAGAATGTAGGTATCTGACCAAAAGACCATATATTATCTTTGGTTGAATCAGAAAAGAAGGCTCTTTGCCCTATAGATACTAAGAATTGGATATTATTTGATAAAATAACTAGTTTGCCATATTGGCATTGGCGTATACAAGCATATAAAAATTTTGTATCAAATGGAATATCTCCAGAGTTGGCTGAACAAAGAGCTTTAAG